CTCTCTTCACATTTATATAGGTCAATTAAAATGTGATTCCCTTCACATTTAAGTAGTTCCATTAAATGTGACTCTCTTCACATTTATGTAGGTCAATCAAAATGTGATTCTCTTCATATTTATGAGGGTCAATTAAAATGTGATTCCCTTCACATTTATGTAGGTCAATTAAAATATGATTCTCTTCACAGTTATGTAGGTCAATCAAAATGTGATTCCCTTCACATTTATGTAGGTCAATTAAAATGTGATTCTCTTCACATTTATGTAGGTCAATTAAAATGTGATTCCCTTCACATTTATGTAGGTCAATTAAAAGGCGATTCCCTTCACATTTATGACAGTAGTTGTCTACCAGAATAGCTAAAGTAAGACTTGTTTAAATATCAGAGCATGCTGCTTGTTGCATCTTGCTGACCCCAAGATCTAATCAAGTAAACTGAGAAAATAAAATGGGGAAAATCAAGTTAAAGTAAGTATCTTTGAGCTCTGTTGAATAATGCAGAAATTAGCCCATCCTGAATGAAGTGTGTGGGAGTTTGACGAAGGTCTTATACATAAGGTCATATTTGTAAATATATTATAACTCTCATAAAAATGACTTTATAAACTAACTACAGTATGTACATGATACTACATGAATCAGGAAACTCCGAACAACGAAGTTAAGGAGAACCCTGAAGAGAATTCCGACTTGGCTGAGAGCCTAATTTAGTAATTTTATTGTATCATCAGAAGCTAAGGAAAGGGCAAATAAACAAATAAAATCTGAAATTTGGATTACATCTCTACCAGTCTTAGCTATGGTGCAATATGCAACATCACAACAGATACCCTTTTCAAGATAAAGTTTAAAGGAACATTATCTAGAATTAGCCTCTGGGCTTCAGCCTTCAATGTAGGCAAGCTACAGGTAAATATACATTTGATTATCATTAGAGTGAAAATTGGAAATTGATATATAATTTTTTTGCAGTTTAGTGCAGGGTGTTCAAAAAGTATTGCAAATTTTGCTATAACTTTTTTCACAACATTAGTAAGATATATCTGACTCTATTTTATTAGTCAACCAAGAATTGACATAGTTATAGTTACTATGGTAACCATTGTCATGGGAATGCAGGCAACCTTCAGGATTTACATGATGAATTATTGTTTTAAATAAAATTAACACTTTTTGATGAATAAAAACTTGATACATGTATTATGGTCAAAATTTGATGTTGTCAGTTTGTATTATGTATTAACAAAGAGCTATGACATCATAATATGTATAGTGCATCTGCGAGGAATATCCCACCAGAATTTCAATTGATGTCTGCAGTGAACACCTCCCTAGCCACACACTTCAAGGATGGCTTCTGAGAATATGTACCATGAGAGTGTCATCAGGCAGCAACTGTGCGTTGATGCTTAGCGCCTACTTTGAGCACTTCATGTTGTAAGGCCCATAAAGTTCCAGAGGGTCACATTTCACCCCATTTTGTTGTGAAAGTTTCATGAAGAAAGAATTAAGAAAACGAAAGTTATAGCAAAATTAGCAGTTCACTTATTGAACATCCTGTACATTTTCCAGTATAGAAAAACAGAAACATTGTAAATTGTAAGGTACGAATTCTGTTTCTAACATATCACATAAACAAACAAATGTAGATTGTATTTTCATCTAAGCTTACTTTTAAGGCAAAAATGTTCAGGTCTGAAATGAAGGTAATTCTAAGACCAATATTGAATGATAATAAAATGATCATTGGTTCATACATGTACTATGATCATACAAACAGTTTTTAAAATGCATTGACATTTTTTCAGAATTAAAACAGGAAGAAATCTTTAGAACATGGTTGCTCATGATGAGTGGGTGAGTGTATATAAAATGTTCTAATTGAAAGCCCATGGTTCTACTTAGACTTACTTTTACACAATGTAATAAAGGTAATCCAGTATGCCTATGATGTGTTTGGGAAATTATATGCAAGTTTTATAATACACACAAGTTTAGAATACAACTGTACTCATAAACATTATAACTTATTCTGCATGGTTTCATTTTAAACTAGATAACGGCAACTCCGCGGAGTAGCAAATCCCAACGAACAAAATATCAATTACCGAATTACAATCAATTATACTCATTACTTTGGTTGAAAATGAAAAAATTAGATTTTAGAATTGCGAATTCCTGCAAAGCAGCCATTTTGAATTTTCTGAGGTACAAATCTGAAAAATAATACCATAATTGTGATCTACTCCAAAATTCCTTCAATTTGAGTATAATATAGCCATACTTTGAAGGGATCGAAAAATATTGCGAAATCGTACATTAGACGGCCATTTTGAATTTTACGAGGCTCCAATCAGAAAAAAAAAACAATATTTGCAATCTACTCTTAATTGCCTTTCATTTGAGTATAATAAAGCTATACTTCAGAAAGATCTAAAAATTAGCGAAAATTTCTGTTTTCCTGTCCCCCCATACATGGCCCCTGGGGGTCAGGATGAAAAACACAGAATATATGTGAAATAGATAAATGTTGTGAATACACTACCAAAATTTCAAACAATAATATTAATTACTTTGGTTTAGAATGAAAAATTTATGATTTTTGCGAAAAAGTCCCGTCATTTTTAAAGCGGCGGCCATCTTGAAAAAATTTTTTTTGCGTAAAACTATTCACCAATATACATCTTTCCACTAAATATGAAAAAAATCTGTCAACTAGTATTTGAGTTATCTTCCGGACAGACGGACGGACTGACTGACTGACTGACTGACGGACTGCAGGGTTCGAACTTAACTTTTTAGACTGGTAGTGAAAATAGTTACCTGACATTTTTTCTAGGTAACTAAATTCCAAAGTAAGGTAGTTGTTTTTACCGGTTGAAAAAATTTCGATAGACACAGTTTTCCTTGACACTAACAAGTCAATCGATTTGTTGATCTCAAGTTTATTATTAATTATTATTCCATGATAACATTTGAAACTTCATGCCTTGTTTTCAGAGATAGTACTAAGAACATGTATCTATCATGTCTATGTGGAATCACACCAGGAAATTTTCAGAATCCCAACAACTAAACCCATGTCCAATGAGCAATTAAACAACGCCCCCCCCCCCTTTAATATGACATTGAAATAAGATATGAAAAGAACTGGATCACCCTATGCAGACAGAGCCTGTGGGAAATATTGGGTGCGCCGCAAATGAGTGATTTTATAAAAATTCGGAAATGCTCTTCAGATATGAGCCCCCTCTAAATATTGGGTGCGGAGCTACGTTTATGGAGCTGCTCCGCACCCAATATTTAGAGGGGGCTCATATCTGAAAAACATTTCCGAATTTTTATAAAATCACACTGATACTGCCTGGCTTCCAAGATGCAAAAGTAATTTGTATAGATAGTGTACCTTGAACACCATTTTTTATGAATGCTGGGGACTCAGTATTAAAAGGATAATTTCAAAATATATAGGTCTGGGAAAGGTTTAAGGCACACTGCGTCGCTATAGAATGAATTGCGCTACTATTTTCACAATTGTATTGATGTTTGGTGTCAAATACACATATCTTGGTATATTTGAAGTCCCAAAACGGCTTAGTTCCAGAAATATCCCAAATTTAAATTCAAAAATGACCGTTAGCTCCGCACCCTCCGCTCATTTGCTCCCCACCCAATATTTCCCACAGGCTCTGTCTGCATAGGGTGTGGATCATACAGGACTATCCTTCTTTCCAGAATAATAGCTATAGATATATTTGCCTCAAAAATAGTATTTTTCTGACTCAGGAGTAAACAGAATTAGCTTTAGAAGACATTAGAAGAATGTTTCAAGTCAAACAATTCAGAGAAAACATGTTGTCTTATGAGAACATAAACATTGGTAGTCATGTGATCAGACCAAATTATAATAGACCAATCATGTTGTTTCAACATTCAAATTTAAATTTCCCACTATAATTAACATTTCTAAGTGGCTCTAAGTGAAAGGTCAACCTGCTTAATTTATGCAGCTGTTGCGATTCAGAGTTTCCCTCCCCAAGATTTTATTTTTTATTTCAAATCTACATGGTGAAATGGGAACTACAAACTTTATTGAAGGGGGTATGCTTATTGAAACTGAAAGCAATTACTATATCTAGTATTTTTCTCAATAGATGTCTCCCCCTCTCACACTAATCTGAGAACAGTAACTAGCTAACTTCAAAAAGTATCTTAATAATACGGTGATTTTACCTGAAAATTGCCGGTTTTTAAGACTTTATTTTAGAAAAATAAGAATCTGTATGGTAAGTAAACACTTTATCTTATGTTTTGAGAAGTTATAGCCTAAAAGCTGAAGTGAAAGAGGACGGAAAGTGCCAAAGAAAAAAATTTCAAAAAAGTTTTATCACGGCAGCATTTCATTCTCACTTCTCAGCATTTTTTCAACTGAGAAGTTGAGTTGACGATCATATAGAGATCTTCCCATAAACCAGGGAACTGTTTTCGTTACTTGGGCATGTTGCTAGGTAACGATTTGAGAAAATAAAGGAACGAATCGTTACTTCCGCAACGCTAATTTCGAACCCTGGACTGACGGACTGACGGACTGACGGACGGACGGACGGACGGAGGGCTTCACTATATCCCTAACGAACTTCGTTCGTTGGGATAATAAAAGGCAAATTGCACACCAATAATTCATAGAACGGTATTCCAGGGTTGCAGCTAAATTTCTACGAGGAGGACCAAATGTATGAAAATATATAAAATCTTCCCTCTCTCATTTAGAAAAATTAGGCATATACATAATCTGGCTCCATCTTGTAAAAATCTATGACCATTTTTCTAAACAGAGGCTGATTTTCAAAAAATGAGTCCCTGTCCCACCTAATAGTAATGGTGACAGATTGACAGTTCATCGTATTGACATGTCAAAGTACCATAAAGCATCCAGATCTTTAGCTCCATTTGTTCTAGACATCCATGCTTTTGGTACAATGAACGGAAATCTCACCTTTTTATAGACTAAGTTGTTTGGATTCTCTTCCCCTTGGAAGTTATGGGGCTGTCCACTATTCTGAGAATGCGCTCGTATCGTCCCATCCGCCTGTTTATAATTGGCTTCATGCTTTTTGAAACGATGACTGGCCATTGCGCTAACTTTGGCTGTGATCCCCATATAAATATTTGAAAGGGGGTCACAAAGTTTGACGCTGTTCAAATCAATGATTGTTTCAAAATATGGTCAACATTTTGGTACTCGTTCTTTTCCGCAGACTTATATCATCTTCTTATATCTGCATAACATTGAGCAATCATTTTAAATGGCACTGTACTATACTACTATCTGACCAAGAGCGATTTTCTTGGTTTCAATGCAGCAAAAGAAGTCAGCGATCAAATGACCAATGACCACTCAGTACTGTAGCTAGAATCTTGTGGTTTGATTAGCCGGTCACTTGAGTAATGGTTTGAAACAATGCATCAATCATATTGATAAATTTCCACTCTCGCTAAGGATATTCCATAGTTGCCATCTCTAGCATTTTTCCCTGAAACACAAAAAATCAGTAAAAATGAACTGTGAGGAATGGAATGGAAAAAAATCCTGATAAATTTCCAAGAAAAAAGCATATTTGTTCTGCAAAACAGTCGAATACATGAGAAATCTAACTAGTTTTACTCTATCTACTTATTTAGCCTGATTATCGATAGCACTTAGAAGGTATAAAAAGCAATACTTACGAAGATTTTCGCATTTTTGTGGGTTTATAATAAATTCAGGGAATTTGCTTCCACCATGATGAATTAATAATAGTCACTAGTAGAGACATCTATAATCTCTCAAATAATTCTAATAATTCAAATTTATGTGCTGCCATCTTTAAATAAGAGTGAACTTTGTAAGTACAAATGAATTGACTGTAGTCTACAGTGTAGATCCAGAACAACCAATGAAAACTTAGTATTAAGACTGAGGTTGAGGTATAACAACATTGACTGTTAACCTCTGATTTGAATAAAAATCTATATAGATTAGAATATATCACTGAATTGTAAACCCTGTAAGTACTGTTGACCTTGACTCTAGACTATGTCGTCTGAATTTTTTATGAAATTTGGTAGGAAAATATTCAGACTATAGCCCACATATGTTAAAATTAGTGATGGAAAATTATTTGTTTACATTGGAAGTGCCATTAAAAATAGCGGATGGTCAGATGGAGTAAATTAATTTGATATTTGTTACTTCCCCGACCTTAATTTATTTCCATTTGACAATTCGCTGTGTTACTTCACATAGCATTTAATTGTACCTTACTACTAATTGAATTATTATAATGTTTATGTTTGGGAAGTGTTGCTTCCTAAAATTGATAATTTTGTGCAGAAAATGTCCTCTTTTTCCCATAGGAGGGACATGATGATCATTAGAATGAATTCTCGAGATGTTCAGTCTATTGGGGTATACTGTGGACTAACCTAAAGGCCTTAACTTTTTAATGTTGTCAGTCGATGGTATTATCATGTTCACAGTATACAACTTTGTCAGTTGACCTCAATAGAAATCTACAGTAAGTTGCATATACATTGTAGAAAAAATTAGATATTCCCCTCTGATAGGTGAATAGGGGTTGTTGACTGGCCGAACAGTGGTCAATAGTTTTAACTGTTGAACTCGAAGTAGCTGCACTACATTCACTACTGGTCAATATACACATCAAGATTAGAGACTTCTTTATCTGAAGTAATTCTTTCTGAGCCCCTGCCCAAGGAATAAGATATAACATGTTTAAAATGTTACCTATGACTGTGTACACAGTCAACAGTTCTCAATATTGACTTACAAAAAACTCAACATTGATTCAACATTGAGAATTATTATATACCCAATATGTAACACTAATCCTGATTGGTCAATACCTAGTCACGTGTTCCGAAATAGATTTACTATTTCCCTCGGAAAGTTATATTCCCTCAAATGTGACGTCAGCGGGAATATACATTTGAACTATTGCCCGCTGACGTCACAATTGCAAGCTCTATTACCCTTGGAAACGTCTGCTCATCATCACTGCGCAGACGAAAAACAGAAAAATGGAGGATGAGCAGAAACACAAATCAACTCCGTTCACCATGACAGACGTGCGTGAACGATACAATATAAGCAACGTGTATAAAGTTCCCTTAGCTCAATACGTCTGTGTAATTTCAAGTGTTATGATAATCTATTCCGCGTGTTAAACGCGATTGAATTTGTCAAGTGAGAGTCTCAGAGGCAAAAATTTCTGTTGAGCATCTGATGACGTCACAGCTTATAATGCTAACAATGGACCCGGGGAGGGGGCTTTCTAAGCCTTTTTGGCCTTCGCAGAGGAAACGGGACAAGAGTCAGTATAGGGTATATAATAAAACAAATAGTGACTGCCTAATTTCGAGCAATAGTGTAAATGATTTCCCCTTGGGAATATCCTCTACAATATACTATTCCCTCAGCCTGCGGCTTCGGGAATAGTACATTGTAGAGGATATTCCCTCGGGGAAATAATTTACACTATTGCCCTCAATGGCAGTCACTATTTGCATAATGTTTGCTGTGTACTGTACTCGGGGTGGAAGGTGTGAGAACTGTGCAAAAAATGACTTTGTGAGCTGGATGGAGTTTCTCTGTATTTTTCATTCTATTAGGGTTTCCTGCATAAGGGATTTCGCCTGCGAAGCATATAACTCTTGCGAACATATCTAAATATTGGTCCGAGGAAGACATACCTTGAATTTTTTAGAAAAAAATTGGCTAAAAATGGAAACTACAAAAAGTCAAAATGTTCAACTCAAACAAAACTCTAGCTATTTAATATTAACACTATGTATTATTTAATGTTTTTCAGATGTTTAAGGACCTTCATTAGTGTACTAGTGTCTAGAAATAAGATAATTAAGGACGAAATTTGGCATTTTTGATCATTTTCGCTTTCAGCAGTAACATATAGTTCCTTATATCTTGAGTTTAATGTTGACTGGTTGTTGCAATTTTGATTAAATCTGTTCTTGTACATGTCTTCTTCCATTTAAGATACAAAAAATGTATATTGGACCACCAATGGTCATATTAGAGCTTTCAGATCTCCCCTACCCCATTTATTATGAAAAATTACTGAAACATATGAAAATATAAAATAACTTGAATTTATAAACTTTAACAATGTTGTAGCTATTCTATATCAATATTATGTATTATTTAATGTTTTTCAGATATTTCAGAACCTTTATTGGTAAACTAGTGCCTAGAAATGAGACATTTAAGGACAAAACATGGCTTTCTTGACCATTTTCGCTTTCAGCAATACCATATAGGTCCTTATATCTTGAGTTTAATGCTGACTGGTTGGTGCATTCTTAGTCAAATTTGTTCTTGTACATGTCTTCTTCCATTTAGGATATAGAAAATGTATATTGGACAACCAATGTTGATATTATAGCTTTCATGTCTCCCCTGCCCCATTTATGTAAATGAAAAAGTAATTTCAAATCATCAACTTTAACAAAATTGTAGCTATTCTCTATCGATACTATGTATTATTTAATGTAACCTTCATTTGATTACATGTGTCTAAAATTTGGCATTTTTAGCATTCTGCATTTAGCAGTAGCATATAATTTTCCACAATTATAATTCTTTGATGATAGATTCATATATGTTTTTTATTGAATCTGTCTTCTCTGATTTAACTTAAAGAAAATGTATGTAAGACAACGAATGTTTTTATTAGAGGTCTAAGATCTGCCCTCCACCATTAAATGAGAAAACCAACACAAATGTTATTATTGCATGATTATATTCTTAAACTTTTCAAAAGTTTAGCATATTTATTAGCACACTAAAATCAAAAAATGACACATAAATGGGCAAAATGACCAATGTTTCACTTTCAGCAATAGTTGTTTATATTTTTAGTTGAATGGTGATTAGTTGACATATTTTAGATCATATATATTCAACAATGTGTCTTGTTATCTTCAAAGCATGGAAAATGTGTTTTAAACACAAATATACGTATTAGAGATAAAATTACTACACTACTATATTTTTAAAAGATTACTCAAAAATAGCATAGTGCAAAATAATTTTGTAATTTCGCAGTTTACTCTCATATGAATCAAAGGATATGTCTTTATATAGACATGATTGTTCACAACTCTCGAACTTAATCCAGCAACAGCCTGATTTTTCAAATCTCCCTGGTTCTATGTTAGAGCTGCATTTAAGTCATTTTAAAGGTAACTGGTCAACTGGTACTCAAGACAAGTCGTACCCAAGCATATATTTTGTTTTGAATCAAGTGTTGGACTGGGAATGTGTAAAGATATACATATTATAACTGTAACATACTGTTCAGAAGTTTGAAGAATTTTCAGAAGAAATTGATATAATTTTGTAACATTTTGAGCTTTGAGTGTCAATTTATTTTGACTATTATTCTATATTGGATGTTCGAGTGAAGAGATATATGTTTATTCCACACATTCATAATCATTTTTTTAAATATTGTATGTTTATGAGTGTTTGGAACAAGTGTCAGATTTAATTCATCTTGGAAGATGGTATTATTATAAATGTATTGATTCATCAAATCTTGGGCCTAATTTCTTATTAAACAGATAATGTATTTGTCTAGGATTTCATATTATCAGAAGTCATATTCATGAAATTTAGCAATAAAATATTTTGAATAATAATATAATAGTATACAAGTAATAATATAGTATAATATTAATATCACATATTATTTTGGTACTTATTCATACATGATATATTATTACACTTAGTATGCATGTGCATAATCCAATTTAGTTCCAATTGGAAAAAAATTAACAGATTAAACTTCCTTTAAACTTTCTCAAAATGCTCAAATTAATTGTTTGATTCATTTGTAGAAAAGTCACTGTTGTAATTATATTTATTTATATATATGTTTGGCAAAAAATGTTGTGAACAAGCACTTCAAGCACTTGTTTTATTAGTAAAAAGGTGATTCAAGTTAAATCAAAATGCTTTACTTAATCCATTGAGAAAAAATGTCTTCTAAATTCAAAAAAATATTGAGGCTTATTTGAGTCACATTATAACATGAAAACATAATTATACAAACTCAATTTGTTTTCCTAATATGCACCCATAATACTGGAAATAACTTGGGTACGAGTTGTCTTGGGCACCAATTATCTTGGGTACGAGTTGTCTTGGGTACCAGTTATCTTGGGTACGACTTGTCTTGGGTACCAGTTGACTAGGAAGCATTTTAAAGGTCTAAGTTGCTCATGACACCACAAGCTATTCAGATATGTAAGATCTCTAAATAATTTTTATAGTTCTGAGAAACTCATCCTTAAATATTGTCCAACGATGTGCACTATGTTGTTTATTGCCACATGGACAAGTAGCAATACACCCTTGACTAGAAACCTTGTATAGCAATTTTCGCTGCCTTTTGCCATTTTACATTTGCGAATTGCCAAGGACATATGTTTCTTGTGTTGCTACGAAGGTTTGTTTGTGAGTACTGGTACAAGACACCCATCTTTGATATATCTTCAAATAGGTATTGCACTTTGAGATTCATATAGTAATTTAGAATGCTACCTTGAAGGACATAAGAAACTTTAAGAGCTCTTTTTAACTCTCATCCTTCTTTGCAAGCAACATTCTGTATCATCAGACTGAATACAAATTCTCTCAACATTGAACTCCTTTGTCTTGTCTGCAGCACTGTAATAGACATGGACCATAAGGAGAGTGTCAACTTCTTCATGATCAGTATTTGATAGATAAGTTGCAACTATCAGTTTT